ACTTCAGAAACTGCTTAATATTCTGTCCCCAGAGTATGTCCGTGAAGAGTTCTCTTCTGCATTTTCGGTACTTTTTCTTTGCAAATACAATATTAAATTAAAATGCACAAAGAAGTGAAGGCCTTCAACACTATCCATCACAATAAACTGACTTTCTATGATTTAACATCTACCACACAATCCCTATCAAACTTAGGCGGAGCACAAAAAGTTTTAACAATTAACCTATTTGATTTTGCTAACTTTTGACCACGACACTCCACCTCCCCACCCCCCCACCAAAAAAAGGAGATAGTTATAGAAAGCAATTCTCTATTTGGATTCTAAAAGCAAAACATTAGTCCTTATGGTGAGTTGTACATTATTTGCGGCTTAATCAAGTACAGATAAATCTTCAAAAGATCCCATTTTTGTAGGGCTACTTTTGTCCGAGAAGTTTATTAACTTATGCTCAAAATTTCATTCTGATCTATATAGTCTTAAGCCTGGAACAAATATATACTCATTGACCACATTATATTAGAACTATTCATGTCATGTCTTTATTAGTGAGATGAGCTCTTTAAAATCAAACAGAAAATTCAGACTTTCATGTCTAATAGCCTTAGCTCAGAAACTTGGTTCTGTTCTTTCCACCAGCTTCTCAGGTTTCAATGGCCACCACAGAGCTACCATCCTTTCATAACTAAATAAACGTCTTCAGAGCTCTGTCCAAAGTACTTGCAGCCTAATATTTAGTGATTCTGCTTCCTGATTCAGAAATAATAACTGTATTTCTAAGGAAATAATTTAGTCATAAAGATGGCATTTCATTTGTACATAGGCAAATAAAGTGCAGAGTCATGTGGGATTAATTAATGTACACAATTATAGCCCTTTCCTTAGAAACACGCAAATTATGACATGAAGGTGAAAATTTTTCTAACCACAAGCCATCCTCCATCAACTAAAACCAGGTAACATCAGAGCCTTCAAGACAAGTGCTCTATTCTCTACGTTCATGCACTGGTGCTGACAAGATGGATTTCTACCACTTCTCCCCTCTCCTCTTTTCTCTCATCCTCACTGTCTAAGCCTTTGCTTAATTCCACCTCTTTTCTTTTGTTTGCTCCTCTCATCATCCTGATCCTTTTGGAAAAGACTTCAATCTCTTTCTCCCCAGAAATGACATCATCCTCACAACTTTATCATCAAAACATTCCCAAGTTTAAGAACTTCAAATGTATGTGATTATCTAGCACTGACTTGGCACTCTCTTTTTTTTTTTTAAACATAGGAGTACTGCTATTTATTCAGCCATTGATTAAGCTGATTGAATGGGCATAAACTCCACGTTACTTTTTTTTTCTTATTGAATCACCGTGAGATACAGTTACAAACCTTTCATGTTCTAGATTCAGCCATACAATGATCGAACACTCATCCCTTCACCAGTGCACACTTTCCACCACCAGTATCCCCAGTATATCCCTTCACCCCATCCCAGTCCTCACCCTGCCTCCATGGCAGGCAATTTCCCCAATATTCTCTCTCTACTTTGGGGCATTATGTTTTGCTCAAATTTTCCCACCACCATTCAAGTCCACCTGCCAGAGGCAGACGCTAGATCATTTATTGTCCCTTGCTCATTTTGAATATTATGGTGCCGTGGCCACACGTTTCTGGAATCCTAAATTATAAATGGTTGGGTTCCAGAGACATTTCTGTAGGGCACTAATCCATTCTGGGATTCAATTGGCCATCTCTGGACCAAGGCTGTTGGTGTGCTAAGATGGCACCTGGTTAGTACTCTCTTTAAGTCCTCAAATTAATATAACAAAATTGGAATTTTGTAGCAAAGAAGTGAAGAAAACTGGTTTCTCCACTCAAGTCTTCTACCCTACTCATTCCAGTTATGCTGCAACAGGCTTACCATGGCCCAGGTCACTTCAAATATTACTTTACCCAATATAGCCCACCAACCCACCTTAATTTTTGCCCACATCAAAAGAGTTCAAGTCATTTCTCTCTACCACCACTGACACCGATCCAAATTGAAGCACTTGGCTCTTCCTCTTTCCACTCAACATTCCAGTTTTAAAATAAAACTGCTTTAAAATAAAACCGCTTTCTCTCTCCTCTCTAATCCACTTGAAGTGATGCTCCTATATTATTTTTTTAAGAGAACAGATGTGCCCCCAAACCAAAGGTTTGAAATTCCAGCTCCTGCTCCTGCTGACTTTTATGACCTTGGACAAGTTAACAAACCTCTCCATACCTTATTCTCATTCATCGTGTGCAGCAAAAGATAATAATAGCACCACCTCACAGAACTACTGAGAAAATAAAAGTGTATTAACAGTTATGGAGCACCTAGAACAGCTTCTGACAGGTACCTGAGTGTTCCCTAAACACCTGCCATTATTTCCAATTAATGACCACTATTTGCTATTATGATCCAGTCATAACAGGGCCTGCCCCCAAAACCTTAACAGTGTGACATGGAGTACGGAAGAAACTGGTATTTAAACCTGCCCCCACGTGACCTTTAAGCATCATATTCCACAGCCCCCATGTGACCTATGTACACATCAGGCAACCTGGAAGATTTACTGTTCCCTAAACAGTTTCCAGAGCTTTCTTCTTCAACCCTTCTGTTCTCACTACTGGAATTTCTCCTCTCAGATTTCTCCCTGTTGATCCTTCAAGTCAACTTTAAACTCCTCCATGCCGCCTTTTCAGAATCCTTCATGCAGATGCGTGCCCACCCCACAGAATTCCTCCTAGCAGGTGTGGTGACTAGCTTTTCTGTATCTCTAATTGCAATCTTGTCATTCTTCCTACAAGACTGGAACTCTCCGAAGGTAATATGTATTCATCATCTGGCCCTGTGTAAATGTAGGAGGAACAGAAAATAAGGACTCCTGGATAAGCAAAACCACAGCTGGTGTTGCAGTAGTAGCTGTGTAAGCCCAAATAGGAAGCAGCACAGTTCTGCCCGGACTGGAGTCTTCATTTTCAAATGACATCAGAACACGCACCATCAGTACATGGTCTCTCTGGCAAGTCTTTCAAGACATCGGAAATAGAGTAGCACAAATATCAGAGGATTTGTAGCCGTCTCTTAAAATTAAAGTCACACATGAACACTCTCCACATCAAGACTAGAATCTCAAAGTTTTCTGGCGCACCACGTTGTTTGGCTGGCTCTGTGGAATTTTCTGCTAAATCTGTCATCTAGTAATCTCAAGAGAAGTCACTCAGACCTCAAAGGCTGGAGTTAGTTCAATGACATACTAACCACTCCCAGCATGTTGGTCACCGTGGAACTGAACGTCACGGCACACATGCAGTTCCCCACCCTCAGACACAGGAAGGGTCCGCACACCAGAAACTCGCAGAGAGCCTCTACCAGCACATTCCTAATAAAAGAGCGAACACTGCTGGCCGTCACAGCATCCAGGTACACAGGGTCAGCAAGCAGGAACAGTGCTGTAATCTGACACCAGGGACTCAGCCCTCAGCCTCAGGAGATCTGCACATCAGGAGCAGCACAAAAAGCCCTTCTATCCCACCCCACCCCCAGCCATTCCAGAAGCATCTTGCTCCCAGCACCACCTGGAGAAGTGTCCTGCAGACATCAGTCTCAAGAATCCCTATGAGGCCGTGATAACTAAAGATATTTGATATTTTGCCTCAGATAAAGGTTAAGCTCTTTTTTTTATTTTTTTTTATTTTTTTGCTTTTTGGGTCATACCCGACGATGCACAGGGGTTACTCCTGGCTCTACACTCAGGAACCACCCCTGGCAGTGCTCAGGGGACCATATGGGATGCTGGGAATCGAACCCGGGTCAGCTGCATGCAAGGAAAACGCCCTACCGGCTGTGCTATTGCGCCAGCCCCAAGGTTAAGCTCTTGAAGGTCTAGAATCACTCTTGTGATGTCTGTGGGCACCCATTAATCCTGAGCACTGTCAAAGTCTCGCTTAACTGGACAAAACATAGGAAAGAACTTACTAGAATGACAAAAACGCATTTAATTCTGTTCATTTAACTGCATGGCTGGTTTCGGCAACAAGAAAGTAAAATGCAGTGTTTACATTGGAATATATTAGCCTTCTCTGAAATACCAACTCTTTTAATAAAATAAGCCATTTCTGTCTTCTAACTGCTTACTATCTATTGCTTTCATGTAACAGACTTATCTCTTAAACTAAATTTTTTACTGTACTTGAAGTAGCATATTATCTTTGTCCCTGTACATCATTCATCTTTCCTGGAAAACATTCCCTACTCTTAACTTACACTTACAAATCCAAATGACACAGAAGCAAAGAAAGTAAATTGGCACTCCTATTCCATTTTCTCAAAGACAAGAAAATCAATCTCTGAAGCTTGGGAAACCCAAATAAAATGACACAACCAGCACTTAGTCATACCAAAAGATATCTTCATCCATATGAACTTGGATAGAGTTCCTTGCGACTGAAGTACTTTACTTTCCAAAACCAATCTGCACAAACAGAAACATCCTGCAACATAGCAGAAGCTGTCGGAACTAAACGATGAAGCACCTGTGATACACACACTGCCCTGTGCTCTACTATACTCCATAAATACCCGAGCCTGATTCACCCCCAACTACAGAGTCTGGCAAGGACTGAGTGTGTCACTCTTTCTGGTCGCACATTGGGGAACACTAGGAAACTACATTTGCAGTTTGTTTTGACGGTAGGAAAAAGTATCTAAGATAAACAGACTTCTAAAAGCTCTGGGTGCTGTTGACAGGTTCACATGATGTGATTTTCCCCTGCACCTCCCCGTAAACAATTGGGGGGATAGGGGAAAAGATGTTCCTTGTACCACTGGTAAGAAGTGACTAAAAATGCCCCAAAGGTACATAGAGTACCTTCTTTGGTGTTTCTTCACCAAAGAACAAGCTAAATAGTTGAGGAATAATACACACACACACACACACACACACACACACACACACACATACACACATACGCAAACTTACTTTTCATAGACCAGCTCCTCATCGATGGAGAAATAGTGGGTATTTACTGTGCTTTTTGGTCTATTCCTTAAAGTAGCAAAATATAACCGATCTGAAAGACAAGTTTAAAAGATGGGAGAAAACATGAGAAGTAGATAGGCAAGGGCGGGGTGGGGGGGGGATGATAACACACCAACACACCGAGGATCAAAACAATCACACCCATTATTTAAAGATCGCATTTACACGGGGTGGGGGGGTAGGGGGGGGGTAGGGGAGTTCTTGCCGTCCTCTTATCTATCCCAGAAAGCGACAGAGACCCGCGCGGGATTCTCCTGCCGGGAAGCTGCGGAGACCCGCAGAACTGGAGGTACGAGTTGGGGTGGGGTTGGGGTGGGGGCGGTAAAACCCCAGACCTCTGCAGCTGCGGAAGCGGAACGCTCGGCGAGGCGAGCGGCTCCTCCGGCAGCTCCCAAGACTTCAAGAAGAGGAAGGGAGCCAGGGGGGTGTGGTTGCGGGGTGGCCCGACACCCTAGGACGGCCGGAGTGGCGGCGGCCGAGCTGAGGCGGGGTGCAGTGCAAGTTACACGACCACCCGGAGGCAAAGCCTCGGGGTTGCACAACCCCTGCAAAGCCTGCGCTGTCCCGTGGCCCCGCGGGGAGTTGGGGCATCCCAGAGCTGCAGCGGGAACCGGGGGACGCCAGGAGGACCGAGAAGCCGGAAGCAGGGGGTCCGCGGGGACCGAGCGGCACCGGGCGGGGAGCGCGCGCGGCCACTGCAGGGCTGCGGGGAGTGGGGGGGCGGCGAGAGGAGCCGGCGGGGGGAGCGACGGGCCCCCGAGGGCGCGAAGTCGGGGGGAGTCGGGGGCGCGGGAGGGCTGCGGGACGCGGGGCGGAAGCGCCTCACCTTTCATGAACTCGCAAGCCCCGATGAGTTCCCCTGGCTCCGCTGCCATCTTAAGCGAGAGACGTCCGGGGGGACGGCTGGGTGGCGGCCAGCTGAGGTCACCCGCCCCCGGGGGGCTTCCCCGAACTGCCCGGGAACCGGGCGGCTCAAAGTCCCGAACACCGAGCCGGCCCGAGGGGGGCAGCAGGCGCCGAAGGCGGTGGCCGCTGGGGGGTCAGCGCGCCGGGCACCCCGGGGACATTCCGTGGGGGACCCGAGCCCAGTCCGCGCGGGGCGCACACACGCCCCGAGCTCTGATCGCTCCGACTCGGACCCCGCCGCCGCCGCCGCCGCCGCCGCCGCTGCTGCTGCTGCTGCCGCCGCTGCTGCTGCCGCTGCTGCTGCTGCTGCTGCTCCTGCCGCGGCGGCTGCTGCTCCTGCCGCTGCCGCTGCTGCCGCTGCTGCCTCGCCGCCTCGGCGCCAGGGAAACGCAGCCCAGTTCTCACGGCCCGGCAGAGTCCTCCCCCGGCTCCCAGAGCGATCATGGAGGAGGACGCGGCTGGCCCCGATCGCGCCCGAGGCTACTCGTGCGGCGGCGGCGGCGGCGGCGGCGGCGGGCAGGACTCCGGGGCCCCGGGGCTGGCAGCAGCTGCTCGGGCTCCGCCTCCGCCCGCGCCTCTGGGCCGCAGCTCGCCGGCCTCCACTTCCCCCGAGGTCCGCCCCCGGCCCGTCCTCCCCGCCCCCCCGCGGCCCCCGCCACTTTCAGGGCTCTGCGGCCGTCCCTTAAAGGGACAGCCCGCTCCTTCCCCGCGCCCGCCCGGCGCCCCAGTTACCAGGCGCCGGGCGGGTCTCCAAGACCCGGTTGCTAAGGCTTTGTTGAGGTCTCCCAATCGCTGCCCGCGGAGCCGGCTCGGCCGGGCCGGGCGGGGCCTCCAGAACTGCAACTTATGAATGAAGCGGCCGCGTCCTCGGCCCCGGGCCTGCAGCGCGCCCCGGCCGGCCGGGTGCAGGCGAGGCGGCGCCCCGGGTTCTGACTTTGCACCCACCAAGCCGCCCGCTCCGGATACTGCTCCTGGCTCTCTCTTCCTCTCCCTCTCTCAGCCGGTCTTTCCATTCCGCTCGCTCTCTTCCCCTACCCACTCTCCTCCAGCGCCTCACCGCAGTTCTCAACGCTTCAAACTTCAGACCTCGCAACCAGTTCTCCCTCTCTCCCCAACCAATCTCTCGCAGCCTCTCTGTCTCTATCTCTCTTCTTTGCCTCTGTCTCTCTTCTCTCTCTTATCTTCTCTTTGTGTCTATCTCTGTCTCTCTGTCCCTATCTTCTTTGTCTCTGACTCTCTCCTCCCTTTGTGTCCGTCTCTCTGTCTGCATCTCTGTGTCTGTCTCTTTGTCTCTTCTCTCTTTGTCTCTGTCTCTCTTCTCTCTCCACTGTCTGTCTGTCTCTCCCCCCACCCCACCCCTACTAGCTCATCTTCCAAACGCCCCCTCCCCCGCCCCATCACCACCACCAAAAGGTGTCTGGGTTTTTCTTCATTTTAAACGAAAAAACACACACACACACAAAAAGCAGCTCTACCTCCTAACTCAGCAGAAGTCGTACTGATCTCCTCTGCACATACTGGACTCAAACACAACTTGTGGTTTGTTCTCACGGGGGGGAAGGTTCCCATCGGGGTCCCCGCGTCCTCTCATTTGGGCTGGCACCGGTCAGCACAAGCGCGGTGCAGCGCCCCAGCCGGGAGAGGGGCGGGGCGCGCGGGAAATTCACACAAAGACGCGGGGGGGTGGGGGGGCGCGTCCCGGGCCGCGCGGCGGGCGGCAGGCGCGCTCGGCCCGGAGACCGCGGCCCGGCGGCTGGAGCCCGGTGCGCGGGAGGGGACGGCTGGCCGGGCTGGGCGAGCGGGGGGCGTCCTGGCCCGAGGGCGCGCCCCGCGATTCCGAAAATGGCGCTCCGGGCCCGGCACCCCGGAGCATGCGCCCTGCGCGCGTTCCTGAAACGCACCGGACCCGGGCGCCCCTGGAGAAAGCGCGCGGAGGGGCGAGCTCGGCTTGGGTGCAAGCCCACTCCCCTGCGTTGCGGATCTTGGGGAAGTCTTAAGACGCACCGAAAAATGACAAATGAGCCCTGCTTCGAGACTCAGAAACGTTTGAGTCCTACTTCAATACTCAGAGACGTCTGCAGTGGCGGGGAAACGGCCCAAAAGCTGGAGCGCAGAGTTTGCATGCAGGAGTTTCCCCCCCAAACCTACCCGGTTCCTTACCCAGCGCCACGTGAATACGCCCCCCCACCCCCAAGCCCTTCCACACATTCAGTGACACACAGGGTGTACTACCTAAGCACTACTCGCTGTGGTACAAAAACATAACAACCAGAACTTTATTTGCGGTTCTAACTAAACAGTCCATGGCCAAAAAAAAAAAAAAAAAAGTTTGGTGTTGGTTTTGTTTGTTTTGTTTGTTTGTTTGGAGCATGCGAGGCAATGCTCATGGGTTACTCCTGGTTCTGCACTCAAGACCTGGCAGTGCTCGGAGGACCATCCGGGATGCTGGGGATCCAACCGGCTTAGCTCTCTCCCCGGGCTCGCTTGCAAAATAGTTTAAACACAACTTGCTCCCCCACCCCCACCCCCACCCCACCTCAGAGTGATCCTGGAGCCCAGGAGCAGGAGTAAACCACACCTCTGGGTGTGGTCAAAAAATAAATAAACAAGCCTTGCGATATTCAGGGCTTCCTCGGAGCTCTACAGAAACGGCTGGACGCTACACAGGCACCTTACCCACTCTAATTGCTCTCCGCCTTCGAATTTTTTGTCTTAAGGCCAAAAATCATTCTTTTCTTGGGGGTGGAGCAAGACTACAGCGGATAGGGCATTTGCCTTAATTAGCACGCAGCCCACCCGGGTTCGATCCTCGACATCCCATATGGTCCCCCCAAGCACCGCCAGAGGTAATTCCTGAGCCAAGAGCTAGGAGTAACCCCTGAGCATCGCCGGGTGTGATGCAAAAAGAAAAAAAAATCATTAATTTCAAAGTAGAAAAGTCACTAAGAGAGCGCCCCCCACCATCCTCGGTGTTCAAATCCAAGAGAAATGTAATTATTTCAAGACCCTCTCCTGTCTATAAAAGAACTGATAATTTTTGGCTCTGTTAAGGAGTTGTCCGTGTATTCAGTACAGTGGTCATGGCTATTAAAATTGTAAAGACTGAGGTGTCTCTGAGTCACATCTTCTACAGTGATCCAATTACTAAAATTTTGCTTGATATTTAATCCACCAAATCTTGGTGCCAACGTTGGTGCCAACATCCAATTCTGGGACTGGAGAGATAGTACAGCGGGGAGGACGTTTGCCCTGTACACAGCCAACTCAGGTTCGGTCCCTGCACCCCATATGATCCCCTGAGCCCTGCCAGGAGTGATCCCAGCCAAGAGTAACCCCTGTTCGTTGCTGGATGTGGCCCAAAAACAAAAAAAAATTTTTTTAATGAGCCAATTTAAATTATGAGGAAAACAGAAAACAGGAAAAAAAATTTTTTTTAGTTTTTTTCTAATCATGATTCTTTTCATTTGGTTTGATTTGGGGGTCCCATCTGGCAGTGCTCAGGAGTCACTCCTGATTTTTACACTCAGGAATCTCTTCTGGGAGGCTCAGGGGACCATATAGGGCACCTGGATGAAACCTGGTGCTCCAAAACCAAACCTGGGTGAGTCACATGCAGTGCAAGTGCCCTACCCACTGGACTTAGCTCTCTGGACTCAGAAAACTGAGTATTTTTTATGTGAAAGATGTAATGGCAAGGTACTTGAATGGCTCAGTAACCTTATCCACACTGTTTAAAAGGTCAAAAATGAGCTCAGTATTGATGATCTGTTTGCAAACTTACGGACTTAAAATTCCTCTAGAATCTAAATTCACTTAGCAAATGTCCTCTATTGTTTTGTTTCATTTTGGGTTTTGGTTTTGAACCAAAATGTGGTCCAAATTGTGCTCAGAGGCTAGTGCCCTCTCTGCTTGAGGATTGCTCCCATATAGTGCTCAGGGAAACATGTGATGCCAGAGATTGAACCTGACTTCCTGCAGAGAAAGTGTGCACTCAGCCCTTTGAGCTATTTCTTCAGACCTTTCCTAATCATTTGAATCCAACTGATGTACTGGGGAGAAAATGCCATAAAGAAATCTGAGTTTAGGAGCCAGAGAAATAGTACAGTGCTTAGGGGGCTTGCCCTGGACCCAGGTTGGATGTCCGGTGTTCCATATGGTCCCCCAGCACTGCCAAGAGTTAATTCCTGAGTGCAGAGCCAAGAGTTCAGCTGGGGGTGGCCCAAAACATGCCCTCCCCTCCACAAAAAGAAGAAATTTGAGTTTTCTTTTAATATAGAATACATGCTCTTTTTAAATACACAAACTTTTATTTTCACAATAATTATTTTACTCCGGGCTCTGTGCTCAGGGTTCATTCCTGGTAGTGCTCAGGGAACCATATTGTGGTGTCAGAGATTAATGTAAATAGAAATAACTAATTAAAATAGCTTTAAAACTACATTTTCAGAAAAGATAGTTTTACTTAAACATCTTGTTCTAAAATAAGAATACTCCCATTAATAGAATTGATCTGATTAAAAATTTTGGTGATGATTGCCCCGCAGGAGCGGCTCTCCGGCACAGCCATAACACCAGACGCATAGAAACCAATCTTGTAATTATCTGGCTCTTTGCAGAAATCCAAAATCATTATATGATTCTCATAATGGCCAGCTATAGAAAACAAAGTATTTCTCAATGCCTTTTCAGCAATTCTGATTGTTTGTGGTGGGGGGGATTCTGAACAATAATGGTGCATCTTTTGTCGAAACAATGAGTGTAATCAATGTAGAGAAGAGTTAGGTGGAAATCATCTGCCTCACAGGCATTGGGAGGGGTGTGAGAGGGGATATATCGGGGTTCTTGGTGGTGAAAAATGAGTACTGGTGAAGGGAAAGGTGTTTGATCATTGTCTGACCGAGACTTAAACCTGAAAGCTTAGTAGCTTTTCCCACAGTGATCAATAAATAAATATAAGAAGAAAAAAAATAAAATTATGAAAAAAAATTTT